TTGGAGCTTTAGCTTAGTCGACATATTTAGTCTTGGAGCTTAGTCTACATTTTTTAGTTAGTCGAACATTGAAGCTTTAGTTTACTCAAGGCTAATCACACTTGATATTAGACTTTTAAGGCCATGCAGTAATGCTCGTTAAGTACGGGCATTGCTGTATGGCAGTACCCTGATCATGTGTTATAACAATCCGTATTTATTCTAATAGAATGGCAGCCATTCTATTTTTCAATACCCCAAAAAATTGTCATTCAATTGGAGGTGCCATTCAAATCATTAAATTTCTAAGTTGCTAAGAAAAGGCATTTCATGGGGTAGATTTAATGATTTTCAATTCCATTGAATTTAACCCTGAATATCTCCCAAGTAAAATTTTTCGATTTATTAACAATAAGGATTTCTTATAGCAAATTTAAAGGGCTTTCAGAAAAGTATAAAATCAAAATTTAATTTAGTCCATAAGGGGTTGAAAATATTTTTTAAAGACCTTCACCTCGATTTTCCGTTGATTTTCGGATAATTAATTAATATAAAAAAGAAATGAAGTGAAAATATCATATCAAAGATAAGATATTATAAAAAATGCAAGTGGTCGTATAATTTACGGACGCACTGTATAATTAATATTCCTTCTTAAATTTTTCCCTTTTTTTAAATGTATTTAAAATTAGTATTGTGGTTGAATTTTGAGTTGTCGTACGGTTTATTTTTGGATGCCATGGATAATCAATTGGCAATTAATTAATCTGAATGTTAAACAAAATCCGTTCAAATTTTAGCCCAAGTTAGTATGAAATTGAGTTTGCTATACAGAGTGACCCAAAAAACCGAGCACACTATTTTTGGCATAACTTTATTCAAATTTAAGTTTAATTCATTTACAGTGAGTCAAGAAAGTATAAGACCACCCCGAGTTTCGACATGAAAATTTTAGGTGGTCTTATAATCTCTTGACACACTGTATTGTTAAATTAAGAGTTGATAATTTAATAATTAATGTCAAATTATTTTTTAGCTATTTAATCTTTTTCCGTATAACTAACTATTCATTATTTTGGATGTTAAATATAGCTAACAAATAGATGCTTTAGTAAATTAAAGCAACGACAAAAGTTAACGTATTTCAAAGTATAAAGTCAGACATTTAGGCAGCCATACTGTGATGTCAAACCCAGTATTGGGATAATTTAATTAATATTTATTCTTAAATTTTTCGCTCTCTTAAAGACGTAAAATTAATGTGATATTGAAAAGCGAACATTTGACGGCCTTTATTTTTGGATGCCATGCATAATCATAGGCAATAGTTGAATTGGACATGTATTATTCAAAAAGAAATGGGCAATCCCAAGTATCACCTACAATAAGTTTACAGAGTATGTGTCTAGCAATTCAAGAATTTCTTCTTCAATTTTAATACAAATACAAAAATAACATTTATAAGGAACTTAGGTGCATACAAGTTCTTATATAAACCTTGGATTCTATTTATCAATCGGTCTAATTGTGAGGGCTTTTAATAGTAACGGGGCACGGACTGCTGCCAGCTTTCTATTGAAAAGTTTACCGTTGGTAATTTCCTTATGTTCTTTTACATTTATTTTGATTTAAATGGAGAACTATTCTAGCCTTAGTTTGTCTGGAAATTATCCATAGTTGCTAATTTTTTGGATGTCGCATAGAAAGCTGACAAAAAATTAAATAAATTGATAAATTAGAATGACGCATTCAGTCAATTACCAATAAAATTGCAGACGTATGAGATAAGCAATTTTTTCTATTTTTTTTTCTCTAACTCATAATTATAATAATTATAATTGTAAAGCATATAGCTATTTAATTCCTAAGGCTGTGTAGTAGGCGGCGTGGTGTAATGGCAAACACATCAGTCCGGTCTACTGAAGATGCTGATTCGCTCCCAACCGCCGAATAACCTTGTGCACTAGCTAAAGGAGAGAAATTGCTATAGCCCAGCTGCTTTACTTAATTATCAATGCAGCATTTTTATAAAGTTTGAAGTGTTTTGTTGTTATAAAACTTATTCCTTAGAATTGTGTTTATTTTCTATAAATTAAATTTTTTATATTTCTGACTTTATATTTTCTGTAATTTAATGCTTTTAATCAATTCACCTTATGCTTTAATCAACTAATAAAAAAATAAATAAATGGTATGGCAAATCCCACTTGAAACAAATCTCACAAAATATCGAGTTGGATTAATTTTAAAAATTTCTTTGCTTCTTTTCTATCAACTCACGTAAAAATTTAATAAAACAGAAGAGAGATTTTCTAGCTGAATAAACATAAGATTGAGTAAAATTTTATAAAATTAATAAGCTAATTTTAATAAATTTGGTGAAGGTTGGTATGGATTGAAGTTAAAAAATAAAATAAAAAAACCTAAAAGAAAAATTGATTGAATAAGCTTACTCAAGAAAATGATTTTTGTGGAAAAAAAATTTCATTGAAATTTTCAAAACTTTTTAGAAAAATGGAGAGCCTATGAATGGAGAGCCTATGGCGCTATTGTTGCAATACCCGTAGTCCCTCCATACATACACACAACTGTGAACCACACAAGATTTTTTGTTGACCCACGAACTCAACTTACCATGTAGAGAACTATTAGAAAAATATCAAAATGAAATTCAAACAATGTCAGGCACAAGTCGAGGATTTATGCCCAGGTATCTCAATGAGCACAATTGGAGACAGTTTAATGGGAAAAAGACCATAATTGCATTTGATAACGTTTTGGATCAAATTAGTGAGTATTATGTTGTAAATGCGTGAAAATTTATTGCTCAAATAAATTTGTATTCTCTTTTTATTATTTTCATTCGCTTCTACATTCATATTGAATTTTTTGATCATTTATATAGGGACCAATGATCTTAAGGATTACCAAAAATAAATAAATGGTATGGCAAATCTCACTTCAAACTTAATAAACATAGAGTTAAATGAATTAAAAAATTTCTTTGCTTCTTTTCTACCAGCTCACGTAAAAAGTTAATAAAACAGAAGAGAGGATATCAAGCTGAATAAACATCTGACTAAATAAAATTTTATAAAATTAAATTCAATACAATGAATAAAATTGAGAGTTCGCTAATTTTAATGAATTAGATGATGGTTGGGTATGGATTGAATTTTAAAAAAATTAATTGAAAAAATTAACGAATAAATTAAAATTGATTGAATAAGGTATACACATGAAAATGAAGAAATTTAAGAAAATAATACTTTTGAAATTTTCCTTGAATAAAATAAGAATTTTATCAAGACAGGTTCTTGCTAAGGATTTGCATGGCATAATGATCTACTTGAAATAGTAGGACTTAAATATAATAATCTGAACTGTGACCTAAAGTTGTCGAAACGGTGTTGCGACATTGAGGATACGCTCTTGAGAATCAGACAAATGTTGACGAAAATTGAGGATTATATTTAAAATTGGATTTTTGATCCTTGACCATCTGAAATTCAAAAAAAATTCGCCAGCTTCGCTGGAAAGATTTTAAATCTTCTTTATTGGTCTTCGAAGTGGGAGGTCTTCCAAGTTTTTTTATTTTTCATTTCTATCCTCATTTGTCATATTCTCAAGTGCGTATCCTCAATTGTCGTACCGCCGTCGAAACTGAATGATTTTTATACCATTCGACTCAGCTCGAATAGACGAGTCAGAATAGCTTTAAATTTTTAATTTAGAATTTTTACCCCGAATTCTACCTGGTCGAAGCCGGGTCCAAATTCAAAGCTCAAATTCGGACTCAGCATGGTCGTTTGCCTAAATATCTTATTTTCAGAATAAAAACAATAATTTTTAAGGTGTTTTTAAGGTGTCTCCCTCACTTCTCACGATTAGCTAACAATTTATTTTAAAATACCATTCTTTAAAAAACCACTCTCTCGCTACCACTCTCTCGCTCAAAATCTCTCTCCACTCTCTCGCTCAGTTTCTTTCTCTTTATATAAAATCTTGGGGATAGATTCTATCAGCTATCTTCAAGTTTCAATTTTGCCAATAATATAAATTTTTATTAAATTTTCCAACGTGGAATAATTTATTATACCAAGAATTCTGACTCGTAAATAAATTCATAAACGCGGGCGTTTTTCTCTCTTATCTTGTTTGAACTGCTGCAATTCTTCAATAATTTTTGCCAAAATAAATAGGCAAACGAAATTGCGATATTCAATTTATTTTAAATTCATTAATTAATCTTCAGCTAATTCCAAAAACTGAGTTGATGTTTTCAAGTGGATTGAGTAATAATTGGCTGAGTAGATTACGAATGTTGTGTCGACTTGCGGTGTGTCCGATACTAACAGAAAGACTAACTAACAAAGTTTATCATGAAGGTAACAATACAATAGACTCTCACGCAGTAATGGGAAAGTTCCAAAATTTTTCTGGAACCGGTTCCAGTTCTGGAACTTCTTTTCAAATTTCTTCGGTTCCAGTTCCAATCTAAAAGGCTGCGACTTTTATATAGTAATTATAAAACCACCTAGTTTATTTCTGGTTTACTATGTTTTGGTTGCCCGATTTATCTTCTATTTTTGCAGGATATTTATAATCACTATTAAACGCTACCCTAACAGTGAAAACCTGACTTTTTCTGAAAATGCAAGGTTCAGAAAGGTCTCTGCCATGGTTCGTTAAATCTCAATTTAGTGGCTATACTTATGTCCCGCTAATCTTTTAATATTCTCGAGTATTAAAATTTCGGATATTGAAAATTGGGATAAATATTAATTTAAATAAGCATTTATTTTTGCTAGTTTAAGATAATAAGTATATTCCTGAAGTTTGTGTTATCTGAAGTTCATCTCTGTTATTGTTATTTTACATTGTCTAAATCCCTCACTTTTCACATAAATATAGATTTAAAATGTTTTTTAATCGCTTATACGGCAAAACCATAATTTTTTTAAATAATTTAGTAAACTAATTCAGATTTTTTAACAAATTTTTTGAATAATTTTTAAAAACTAAAAATGTCAAACAAAACTACAATTTTCTTTATTTTTGCAATCTGTCTTTTGGTAAATCAAATTGTGTCTGCATCTGGAATGCCAAGTCTTGCTGATTGCTGTAAAAAAGATTATGTCGAGGCATGTAATTGTATTTCAGCTGTAAGTAAATATTCTCAAAAAAATTTTTAAAATTTTACAAAAATAAAATTCATTAAAATAAAGAATTATGACCCGGCCACTAGCCAAAAATGCAAGAAAAATGATAATACAAAGTCTTATGTATCAAAAAAGTGCAAGAAACACTGAAGAATGCAAGAAACGAATATTTAAAAAAATGGGAAAATAAATATTTGAATGATAAAATTGGGATTTAATTTAAAATATAAAGGGATATTTAAAATAAAAATATATAGATTGGTTAAAATTTAATTTTAAAATTGGATAAAGACTTTTTCTCATGCAGACTAAAAATGGTTTTAATTTATAATGATGATTGTAAAAATTAAGGAATTTAAAACTTTCAATTTTTTGGTCTAAAACATGCTATATAACAGCTATCATCTGTAACACTCTTTAAAGAGTGCTGTAAAGAGTGCTATGACACTCCTTAAATTTTTTCTAGGATCACCGTATTCACATAAATTTTTTAGCAATAGAGTGCTTTACTCAATAAGATTTATTCACTCAGAGAAAGAGCCTTGATCTACATATATATTCATAATTTATCTTGTGAGACAAAACAATCCGTCTAAAAAATTTTTTAAAGGGATCACCGTTTTATCAAAAGAAATTCTAAAAATTTTCGCTTCAGACGCTAAAAGAAAGAAGACTTAATCACTTAAATTAAACAATTGCCCTCTATACAATTACCCTATATCTCAGACAAAAGTTGTTTCCGAGGACCTATTTTTGTGTCGTTCGAAGTATTGCCATTTGATTAAGTGTGGCATCCAAAAATTTATTCAATAAAAACTGAGGAAGATGATAAAATTACAAAGTAGTTTTAATCCTTAAAAGACGAAAAAATTTAGGAACGCATATTATTAAGAAATAAAGATGCTTAGGGATCTGTTCTTACTGCGATGCTTAGTCCCTTCATGTCCTGATTTTTAGATGTCGCATCCAAAGCCGTCAAAAAATTAATTAAATTTGAGAATCCTTTAATCCCTCTAAATAGAGATCAGGGTTGCCGCCCGTAACACGGCATTTTTTGTACCCGATACACGAAAAGAAACTTTTCTAGCCCGAAACACGTGACCGAAGGCCCGAAACCCGTGATTTGCTTTTAATTATTGTTTTAACTTTTAATTTTTGTAGAATTTAGAGCAAATCAAACTTGGATAGTAGCTTACATTATTTTTGATGCTGATTTTTTATATTTGGTAATTCAGGATCAGTCCAATTTAAAAATTGACGTCAATTTTCAGATTTTTTATATTATAAACTATATTTTATTACATTTATTTTGTTTTAAATAGGGAATGCGTCTGCTGTATGTATGTAGCTTCCAGGCGTAGATTTTTTGCTAATTTTTTGGATGTCGCATAGAAAGCAGACAAAAAATAAATTAATTTGCAAAATTTTGATTTTAGTATTTTGTATTTGTAGTACTCTAGTCTTTATGAACAAAGAGTAATCCCAATTCTAATTACACTTAGGTAATTAATAGCGATCGGACTTTGAGCGCATCTACTATAGATGTGATCTAATAGGGATCTCACATTGAATTTTTTCAAAAAAGCCCATTACAAAAAAGCCTGAAATATCTCATATAATTTTGTTAAAGCTTTGGTGACCTTACTCATAACAAACGAGCTTTAAGATATAGATAATTCAATGATCTTTCTTCATCAAACTTACTTTGATTTTGCTATACTTATTAATTACAAGTGTTAGGATTTTTGTCAACAAAACATTGTAGTATATCGTTCTTGAAGCTCAATCGATCTTCAAATTTTCTTCAGTTTGTAGCAGCGATTGTGTCTGGGAAAAGCCGGGATCTTTCCGTATTAGGATTACGAGTTACGATATATCTATGTATTCGAAAACTCGTATTAATAGATATGGTCTACTGTATAATTATTTGCCATTTGTTTATACATAAATGGCATCCAAAAATTTAGAATCCTGCCATATCTGTGTTAATCCATCATTAATGTAAATCCTTCAATAATAATTTTTATTTAAAGAGAGGCAAAGTCAATAATTCATATTAATTAAAATTTGTAAAACATTTTATAAATATGCTCTAGAACTTTTTTTAACTGATATTGTTCCTTATAAATTTTTTTAAATTTTGTTCTCGTACTAAATCAAAAGACTAATTTAAGCAGGTGCCGAAAATTGGAATGGCTCAAAAGTCTTCATCCTCCGATATCTCCCCAACTCATATGACATAGTCTTTTTCATAGGTATTTCTTTAGATTTCTTTGATACCTCCAAACCGGATATTCTCCTTAGTCTCTAATAATTGATCCGTCTAAATCCTCTGATATCCTTCATAATTATTTGCCTATGCTTTAGCATGACATCCAAAAAATAACAAATGCAAATCAAAACGCTCTAAGTTACATGTGGATTCACAAAATTAACCGTCATAAAAATGCAAAAACGGATATTAAGTAAGATTCCACTTTATCTAGAGATTACCAAATTTTATTTTGATGAGTTTCAAATTTAGTCCATAATCTTGTATTAGTGATTTCTAGCATATTTTTTATAGCTATTCCAAAAATGATTTATACGTTTAAACTAGCAACCCGACCCACGAAACTCCAATGGATTTTTTGTCAAAAAATCGACCCAACGCCGACTCGACTGCCGAAGCTCTAAAATGTCGAAGGCTCTAACTCCACAAATGATACTTTCGCTTGATCGTTCACCACAATTCGTCTGACACTTGAATTTGTACACATCAAAACGAATGAACACCTAAACGTCTCAGACGAAAATTTTAAATTTTCTTCCTTTTTAAAACGCTTCAGACGAAAATTTTGGAAGACAAGATACAAAGGCAAAAATTTCATTGTCAGTGAGACTGACATCCAAAAAATTACAAATCATTCAGGTGATACATTACAAATCAAAAATTCCATGGATTCTTTTAAATACTCTTTAATTTTTAATTTAATAAGAAGCTATTGACAAAATTTTATTTATCAACCTTTATTTGTAGATGAATATTCTCGCTTATTAATAATTTCTTCAAACATCGATTCTGGCAATAAATCACAATTTGCAGATTCTTAAGATGTAAACTCTTAAGTTTTATCTTTATTAAAAGTCAATTTGGTCTCAGACAATACAGTGGGTCTACTAGAGATCGGATAGAGATTAGATCCTTGAAAAATCTGGGTTGCCGAGATTTTTTGAGATGTCGATCTCTAATCTATTTTGATCACCAAATTCGGTCTTAAATTCTAACAGGAATAAAGCCAATTTACGCCTGTAGAAATCACGGGTTTTTTATTACATTCTTCTCAAATGACTGAGTATAAAATTGAAAATACTTTCTGAAATATACTTCTGATATAGAATTACGAAATATGGGAACTACTGTTATGCCCATGCAGTTTTATTAGAGTAGTAAAATTTGTCAGCCTTTAGGTGAAATCCAAAAATATAGTTCTCCGTAAAATAATCCCCCCACAAAACCGCCATTATTCAAATATAATTAAGATCATATTAAAACAAAAATGAATATGATACAGATAGGAATGTACTGGAAACCCGACAGGAACTCAAGTCGTCCTATTCATTGTAAAAATTTGGTTCCGTCTCCTACACACTGAATTCTTTCAAAAGAAGACATTACAGTTTCCACATTACAAAATTTAATAACTTGATATCTCCATTTTATTCAACAAAGCCAATAGCTTCTTCACACGCCTTAACAATTCAACAACAACAAAATAATCTTTTAAGTAGCAGCCAAAAATCATCAGCATTATCAAGTTTAGAATGAACTCAACAACGAAGAAGCAGGGATAAGGATAGTAAAGCAGCTGGGCTATAGCTATTTCTCTCCTTTAGCTAGTGCAAAAGGTTATTCGGCGGCTGGGAGCGAACCAGCATCTTCAGTAGACCGGACTGATGTGTTAGCCATTACACCACGCCGCCTACTGCTCAGACTTAGGAATTAAGTAACTATATGCTTTACAGGATTAAACAATAACTAAATCAAGGCCGAATTAACTCACAAAAGCTATATATAGGATTCTGAGTTTTATGTAAAAAAATAACTACAGGCTTCTAATTGTTGCTAAAGAGTTTAGTCCAAAAAGTGTTTTTCTGAACGGTAATATTTGCCTATGCTTTAGCATGGCATACAAAAAATTACATATGGTCTTCCCTATTAATAGATATAGCCTACTGTATAACTAATTGCCAATTGTTTAAAAATGGCATCCAAAAATATAGAATCCTTCCATACCATTCTTGCTAATTTAAATCACTTTAATAATAATTTTTATTTAAAGAGATGCGAAAGTCAATAATTCATATTAATTAAACTTAGTAAAACAATTTATAAATATGCTCTATGTATAACATTTTTTAGCTAATATGTATTGCTTGTTATAAATTTTTGTTAATTTTGCACTCGCACTGAATTCTTTGAAGCATAGCATTACATTCCACACATTTCAAAGCTTGATAACTTTATATTTCCATTTTTAGTCAGCAATGCAAATAGCTTCTTTACACGCCGTACCAATCCAACAACACCAAAATAATCTTCTAAGTATAAGCCAACAATCTAAGCATTATAAAGTTTAGAAAAAACTCAACGCCGAATTCACTCAAAAAAGCTTTATATAGGCTTCTGAGTTTTATGTAGTAATTTTTTAAAAATATATAAAAGCTTTTAACTGTTGTTAAAAAGTTTGTTCAAAAAGTGTTATTGTGAACGGAAATCTTTGCCCATGCTTTAGCATGGCATCCAAAAAATTACAAAAGATCTTTACAATATTGCGAAGCTACATGTTGCTTCACAAAATAAGCTGTTTTAAAAATACAAAAACGAATGTTAAGTAAAATTTATTTTATCTAGAAAATTTAGGACCAAATTTAATGATTTTAAGTAGAGTAGGTCGAGGCCTCAGTCGGACAAAACTTCGTTTTACCAAAACTTCGTCCGACCAAAACTTTGACTGACCAAAACTTCGTCCAAAGAAAATTTATGAATTGCA